TTAAAACTGCAACAACTAGATAAACATATTTTCCTGTATAATTATTAAAAAAAAAATATGTTCATGTTATCTCGAATGTAAAATTTAATTTTTAAAAATTTCGGAAAATAACTTATCTCTATTAAGTTGGATATTTTTTAAATTTTAGATCATAACTCAAATCAAAATTTTATTAATTTTTGTTGTTCTAAACTATGGCATTGAAGTAATATAATTTTTACTATATGAAATTTATACTCTGTAGTAATCTTAAAAAAGTTAATTTTTATTCTAATATCAATTAGAAAAATTTACAATAATAATATTACAAATATCAATATATATTTAAATAAGTACTTTTTCCTAACTTAAGACATTTCAATAATTACATATTAGTTGATCATTGCAAAAAGTCTGGCTAGGATATTGATAAACGATAATTTCATAAATAGAGCATTATCTTATTATATAATAAACATTGAAAAATTAGACAATGCTGGAAAAATTACTTAAGGACGTACGATTTTCAATTTTTTTTGTAGTGACTACTTCTTTAGGCAGGCTATGGGTATATATTTTGCACAAGGAAAAAATTGTCGTTTCGCGTCACTGAACGATTTGTATGTGTTGCGCATACGTACGTTTATCATGACTAGTGTTGTGCATACACTTACACGTTTATTACACGTAATAAAAAAAACTCCAGTACAGGGGGGTCGTAGCACAGTGGTGACGTGGCATAGTTGGATCAAGTATAATGATATCTGACCGTGATTAAAATCACTATAAAAAAAAAACGCTTCGATGCAAATGTTTAGATAGTATTTAATTTTAAAAAATTGGTGGATTATTCCATAAGATACGTGATCTGCTAGTTCCTTATTAATACCCTGATTAAGATAAAGTATGTTGAATGAAAGAGGGATTATTAAAAAATATTATTTCTCATAAAAAAATTGTGTTCATTCATACACTTTTCAATAAGTTATTGGATTATAATGTTAAAAATGTAAAAAATATAATCGAAAATTTTCACACAAAAATAGCATTCGATAGCCATTTTCACCGTGAAGATAAAATAATATCCAAAATTTTTTTTTCCATTATAGAGAATATTACATTAGCTTTAATTTAAGATATAAAAAAATATAAAAAAAGTCAGTATTTCCGGAACACTTTCAAAGGTTAAGTTGAAAAAGTAAATTTTTTGTGAAAAAGTTGTCATTTTAAATCCCCCCTGTGGGCAGGTAAAGGGTCTAATTTATAAAAAAAATATATCAAATGATAGGTAAAGACATTATACATCTATAAAAAAAATTATATTGATATGTTCATTTTTGAAAAAATGATGACAGTTTTTAATAAAAAAAATCGAAAAAAATGTCGAAAATTAGCGATTTTTAAATTTGTAATTTTTTTGGAGATTTTCTCCATTTACGGTGATTGAGGGAAATTTTTTCAATTTTTGAGGGTAAAATCTTCGACTATATACGATTTGTGATCTTTTGACGTATCGTTGAAAGAAATCGGTTCAATGAAAGCTGAGAAAAAGTGGTAACGGGCACAAAAAAAAAACACATCGTAGTAAAACCAATACCTTCTCAGCTTCGCATCGAAGCTAAAATTAAAAACATTTGAATTATTGTTTAATCAATTAATTAAATGTTTTGTATTTTCGTTTCGAGTAAAAAATATAACAATTAATAATGTCTATTATCATATAATTATTAAGTAATAAATAGTATTCACTTTCCTTTTTGTTTATATATTATGGACTTGAAATAAAAAATAATTAAAGTAAAATACAAAATGGTGAAGGGAATTTTAGTTTATTTCGATTTAACTTGAAATTAAAGATTTCGAACCCTAACCTTTTTATAATTATGTACCTTCTTCGCAATTTGTCTTTATATATATATATCTATATAACCTATACACAGCCTATATAAACTTTATATTTATATATACATATATGTATAAATAATTTTAAATTACCCGACCATTCGGGTTTTGATAAGGAACCCGACTGATATTAACCAATTGATAATGCTAAATTTATAATACTAGTATTATATATGCACGTATATTGTACAAGTTTATTAAACTGAATTTTAAAGTTTGTATATTAATTTAACATTATAAAAATGTAATTAAAACATTTATTTACTGTATTGACTAGTTATAAAAAATTATAAAAGTATTTTGCATACATATGTATGTCTATTGTGTATATGTTTATACATAAATATATATTTATAATCGTTTACAGCTAGCTATTATTTGTACAGATATTACATTTAATAAACTCATTTTATAGGTACCTTAAAAAGTAATCATTTGGATATTGCTCAACTGTCCATGTATTAATATATAATTATTTATCATACTAAATGTTTACCTTTACTCCAAATTAATACAAATCAACAATGGTTCAGTGATGTGTTGCGCTGATATTCTACACACAAGCCGAGTTCGAATTTCGGTTTTATGCTGAATTTTGAAGTGACTACTTCTTTAAGTAAATTTTGCTGATAAAACATCAAAACCATTAATTGATTTTGTAAAAGATAAATTAGATTTAACAATGTCTAACGATAAAAATAAAAGTACAACTAGATATGGAACTATAATAGATGCTGTATTTACAAGATACACAGAAAACTTTTATTCCAGAGTGTTTATATCTCACTATAGTTACCATAGGCCAATAGTTCCATTTTTAGAATATAGTTAAAATAATTAGAATATTATAATTAAAAATATACCTTACAAAAATGTTATTATTAATAATAAAATGTGTCATATTATTTGAAAATAACCTATTAACAAGATATACAGTCATATCCTGCTAAAAGAAGTAGTCACTTCTGTCGACACTCTTCAAATGGTGCACACTCAGTTTTTTTTTAATGAAAAAGCTCGACAACTTCATTCTAAGAAAATTATTGGCGAAGATGAGAAAAATTTTTTTAGCTCACCGTGAACGTTTAAAAACCTTATCAAAAACGTTCATTGCAACTAGCGTTTATTGATTTAAAATCTGAAATTTTAAACGGCCTACCTAGGTGACATTCCAAAAGTATCCTAAAAATTTCGTTAGAATATGTTGGTTTTTGACCGAACTATGAGTTTTTTTTGTAAGTTCACGTGCATAGTTTTTATTAAGATTTAATTTTGCTTCACTCAAATTTACAAAATGTTATTTTAATAAAATTGAAAACTAAAAATATAATCATTGTCTGTTTTACTTTACATTTTATGCAGTATTTTTTTGGTAAATTTCAATAAAACTACAAAAAATTAAAGCTTTTGGAATGACTTTACATTCCAATATCAAAAATACACGTATATTTTTAACATTTTTGGATAGATTATTTTGGAAATGTTATTATTGTGCTATAAGATAACGGTGAAAATAAGCGACATTATTCAACATCGTGGCATTGTTTTGGTTAGTGTATAGTGAGATGGCCTAAAACACGGGCCGTCCGCCACGGACGAAAACTTTCGAGAAATTCCAGGGGTCGTAGTTATACTGTATAATAACTACTAATGTATATATTGTTGCCTGTCTACTGCGCCTTGTCGTTTGATTCCAACTTGGAACTACGTGTTTATTGTCAACAAAATAACTACCGATGTATATGTTATTGCCCGTCTGCTGAGGCATGTTCGCCTCGCTGTGACATAACAACGATCGTCCGACACCCATTAAATACAAATTTGGAGCTACCCATATATTATCAACAGGTAAAGTGTACAATTATTGGCACTTTAAGGACATTACCTAGTATTTAATTAATACATTTATTTAATTACACGAGTTATTTTTTTCTTACTGGAATTTATTAGTCCAAAATGTTATTAGAAATCAGATCCGTGTAAAATTTATACTTTTTTTTAAATACTAGATTTTTAAAATTTGTTTATAGTATACAGTTGTTGGCACCTTTAGTACAATTCATTATAGGACCTTTCAAAGTCGAGTAAAAATTACATTTTTGATAAAATTATAAATCCTAATAGTCGAATTATAAAAAAAAAATGATTTGTTTCATATTAGTCATAGAATCAGCTGTGGCTAATCTAGTTTCTATTACGTATACTTTTGCTCATTTTAATGTTGTGTAAGTTTTTTATCATTTTTTAGAACAGACGTTTAAAATATTTAAATCGCATAAGGACTAATTTAGATTTTGTAAATATAATTATATTGGTTTATGTCATAATTTTATTTCAATTGTGTTTTTTGTAAACCAAATTAAACTTATGAAATAGTCAGTGGTGAAATTCCGGGGTGCAAAAATGTTACAATATTTATTTTAGCATCCACAAACTCAAAATCATTTTTAATTTTAAATACGTTAAAAATAATTTAACTATGCGTTTTTTTTTTGTAAAAATTATTATCAGTTGAATTGTCTAGTATTATAGATACTATAATATTTATATAGTAATAAGACAAGTAGGAGTTATAAGGAGTTCTTTTCCCGTGGATTTGTGAATCTTTATAATAACAAATTATAATGTTTTTTCTTGTTAAATATACTGTTTTTATTCTGATAATTTTTATATCAAAGACCAAATGATTAGTTACATTTGTGGAGCTTTTGTAGATATGAAATTTGAAACGGAAAATGATACCGACATTTGCTACAATATAATTGAAGTATGTTCTTACATGTATTCCTATATTTTAACAGAATGTTTTAAAAACGCCATTAAAAAAAAGAAAAACGGTCAATTTTAAAATATTCTATAGTAAAGATAAAAATGACTTGATAGACGTAAAAGTTTTTGTTGATATCCTAAAGAAAAACTTCAGTGATTGAATACCATTTTAAACTTGGTGTCAATAAAAAATAACATTATAATTTCAAATAAATCAAAAGATGGGTTTGTGTGCCTTTACATAATTTTAGCATCTCCATAATATTTTTTCTTGTTAAATAAACAGTTTTTATTTTAACTCGTATACATAAATTTTATCGTTGTATTTATATTATACATTATATTTACAGGAGGTAATTTTTCTGAAAATTTTCAAAAAGAGTTATCTTTTTGGGCATTTATTGCTAGCCATTATTCAGAATATCCTCAATCTCTTAGATTGTATATCAAAAACAAAATGATTGAATTAATTTGTCAAAGTTCAAAAGACATGAAAATTGAGACAAAATATTTTATAGACACCTGCTACAATATAATCGAAGAATGTTCTTACACATATTCCTATTTCTTATTAAAATCTTATTACAATATTAGTTCAAAGAAGAAAAAAATCGATTTTAAATTGTACTATGGTAAAGATACAGATACTTTAATAAACGTACTCGATTTTGAAGAAATGCGAAAACAATACATGAAAAATAGAATGAATAAATAATAAATAATTAACTTGGCGTCAATAAAAATTTAATATTATATTTTCAACCAAATCAAATTACCTTTTTTTTTTTAATTTATACAAATATATATATATATATATATTAAATTTGGTATGATTAAAACACAGGATTATAAGTGATATTATTTTATTTTCGAGATAATCGTAATCATAGTATAAGTTTTTCAAAACCATAAAAACTACTAAAAAAAATACAATTATATAACTGCATGTATATATATATATTTTTTTTAATATTGCGATTTTTTGTGTATTCGTCATGTAAAACAAAAAAATTTAATTTTTGAATTTTCCACAAAATTATATATCCACCATAATTATCTATAATATAAAAGTTAAAAAAACAAAATTATTATTTTTCAATTTCTTTAATGATATAACATATATAATAAGTAATTAATAATTATTTCAAAAACTAGATGGGATGGAGAAAAATTGAAAAAAAAAAGTTGGAATCAACGTTAATATTTTATAAAGAGTTCACCTAAATATTGTAGACATAATGAGATTATTATTATTTATAGTTCTATGAAAATTTTAATTAGTTAAATTACAATAAAAACAAATCTATAGTTCTCCAATATTATTTTTAAAACTTATTAAAAATATAAACATTCAATCTAATGAATGAAATCTACAACATCGGTATCTTGGGTTAGTTGGGATTTGAGCATTTTACTCCGGTTCGCTTTTGATTTCGATAATCATGTCTTCTTTTTCAAGTATTGTTGGTAAATCTTCTTTTCCTTCACTTAATTCATCTTTAACAAAATGTTCATTAAGCTGTTTTATATTTCCCATAGTCATCTTTAAATTATTAATTTTATCAGTATATGACCAACAACACGTCTGCGCTTTATCAAGGCATTGCTCATAATCTTCTTCTCTAATAAAATTGTAACCAGTTTTTCCAAATGAATTACAAATATAAATTGCCATATAAGATCCGACTCTTATTGCAAAACTTTCATCATTCTGTAGTATTGTATTCCACTTACATAATTTATTTTCAAATATAAGACTAAATTTATTTTCAAAATCTGTAATCAAAAAGTATTAAAAGATCAATAATTTAAATATAACAACTAGTTATTATATTAGAAAATAACAATGTATACCAATGAATGCGTTAATCAAATCTGGATTCGATTAATTTACTAAATTGTATGTGCTTTATAATATAAAACCGTTTGAATAAGGTAGTATAATCCTTAAAAATTTGGGAATTATAACGAAAAACATAAAAACAAAGTTAAGTTTTAAAAAATACAACAAATTATTACAAAATATTCTATAATATACACATATGAAAAAAAACAATAAAATCTTTGCGGACATGTTCTTCCTTGTTCCGCTGCCGAGCGACTTCAAGACCATTCAGATATTCCATACTTAATACTTATTACACAATACTATAACCTACTTAACTAATAATTAACAAATAAATGTTTAAAAATAATAATAATTATAAATAATTTACATGTATATATATTTTGTATAAACTACACTATATAGAAAAGTTAACTTACTCACGTCTATGATTTCATTATTTACACATTTACTTGTAACCAAACAATTTAAAATCCAACTTGGTCGTTGGATTTTACCTGTAAAACTATTATCAGTCAATGAAATATTCAGTACTACATTTATATAGTATAATATATAATATATATATTACTATATTATATATATACATGTATATATATGTATATATATGTATATGTATGTATATAAAACATAATACAAGAAAACGGTAAAAATGTTACTTTCTCATACAAGTACGAAAAGGTCTATGTAAAATCGATAAAATATAGGAGTTTTCTAAAAATTAAATCTGTAATGTTGAAATGTCATTATACTCTTAATAACAAATGAGTGCATTTAGGTTATAAATGAATATGTTGTGTATGAATATCGAAAAGTTCAATTTAGAAACTTTTTAAATAACATTCACAAAATAGTATTTTTAATATAATTGTAAAAGATTAATTTATTGTGTAACAATTTTACTCACAAGAGGTAATAAGAAAAAGAAATAAGAATATTTCGTAAACATCATTTTTCTGTCTATCTTCACTTATAAAATAATACTAGAAAAATATATTTAACGTAATAGACAATTTTAAGAGTTTTTTACCTTTTAAAATTACATTAAATAAAATAATGAACAAATATAAATAAGATTTGTTCAAATGAAACTACATCTGTCATATATGAATTATTTAAAAAATTATTAAGTAAAAATTGCTGCTAACAATAATTCAAATTAATAGTAATTTTATTTTAAATATTCTTTAAAATTAGATACTTAATTTTACAATAAAAAATTACATAGTCTCTTAGATATATTTAAAATATGTATATTGATTAAATTGCTATATATTTGAATACTAATACAACTAATAAATTTCTTAAAATATTAGTATTTTGATCAATTTTATTTAAATCTTAATATAATAACAAAAAAAAAAATACAAAATAAATTTCCAAACTCAAGTTCAATATTAAAAATATTATTATGTGTGATATCGAACACGAACAGAATATTATTGAACGTACATTTACATTGTCGACTGTATTGCTCCCACTTTAAAAAATCTTTGTATTTTATTATTATTATTTTTTACTTAAATCTCAACATTTTTGATAAATGAATAAATCAAAATCATTTTTTTATAATTACCGTTGGTATTTCCCTTTTAGTTGGTTATACATTTTTGAAAATCTGACCTTTTACGTGTCCTTGATGGGATTCAAAGTAGAAATATTAACCTAGTTAACCTTTTTAACTGAACCTCTAAAAAATTTTTTAAATATTTGTAAAAAAAACCATTTTTAGTGTTATTATAATTATTTATATATAAATATTTTAAATTTCTTAGTATGATTGGTTTAGTGGGGGGTGTGATAATATCCCCATTTAAAAATATTGATCTAGTATAATATATATTATCAGATATAAACAAAAAAATAGTGATAGAAGATAATATAAACTCATTTTAAATCCACCGACACATTTTTTGCTTTGCATTGAAGCCTTTACCTAGATCAGTCAATGAAGATATCATAATCGCTTAACGTTACCCAGTATGTATATCTATAGCTATAACTCAATTTTTAACTCAAAATTTTTGATAAATGGATGAATCAATATCAATTTTTTTATAATTACCTTAGGCATTTCTCTTTTATTTGGTAATAAATTTTCGAAAATCTGACTCTTGACGTGTCTTTGATTATATTAAAAACACTGAATATCTAAGGGGCAGATTCGTCACTTGTGTTATCTTGTCGGTGTTATCTTTGAACAACAAGCATCGTGATAAAGGAATATGATCACACGCACATTTTGCCACAGTAATAACTTATCAATGTGTAATTCCGTAAACACAATAATCATAAATTGCTTGATCATTGTTGCTTGGTTTATCTTAATGATCGTATTTGAGCATAAAACGATCAATAAATATTGTTAAATTATATTGTACTTTTTTTTTAAAAAGTTCTATTTATTAAAATCAATAATATTAAAAACTAAAGAGTTTTACCTATAGAATCTTATTGCTCTGTAAACAACATTTTGTACTCTTTTATTTTTCACAGATTGATTTTTTGTTTTGATGATTAATTTTTAAATAATTTACACATTGTTTCTGATATTGTTTTCTAATTATTCACTAAAATAATTTTAATTATAATTTTAATGCTTTTAATTATGCTTTAATTTTTCATTCATTTTTCTGTTGCGCATTGCATCTATTAATTTTAAATAAGTATTTTTAAGAGAAATCCATAAAAAACCTGCATGAATATGAAACTAGTCAGATTAATATTATGATCATTTCACTGTACCATAAGCTTTATTGGATAATTCACTACTTAATAATTCAAAAAACTATTCTGTTGTGATGGAACATCGTCCAGTTACATGCAATATCTTTTTATATTATATTGGGTTTACTCAATTTTATATTTTCAGTAGAATGCACGATTTTTTAAATACGGCAGCCATTTGCACATAGAAAAGGTCGTCGGGACAAATTTTTTTTTTTGAACTTCTAGTACATAACAAAACTTTTATTTTAACACATGATTGAAGTTCAGAGTAATTGCAAAATTTAAGTTTAAAAAATTAAACAATTGTGCAGAAGTTCATATTTTGATTCCTCTCCTGTGTGCAGGCAAAGTGTCATATTTTCAAAAAATGTATATTAAGTGAAAAGAAATTACCTAAGGTTTTCATTTAAAAAACATATATTTGAATTCGTTCGTTTTTCAAAAAATTATGGCAGTTTTAAGCAAAAAAAATTTTAAAAAATGTCAAATTTTGCCGATTTTGGGAATTTTCCATTTTCAATAAACGAGGGTGATTTTTTCAATTTTTAAGAGCAATGTCTTCAATTAGATACGATTTGTGATCTTTTGACGTATTGTTAAAAGAAAATGGTCCGGTGAGAGCTTAGAAAAATTGGTAACAGACATAAAATACACATCATAGTAAAATAACTGCCTTAACAGCTTCGCATCGAAGCTAAAAATTATTAAGCATCCCTCTTATAATCATAATAATGATTAGATTTTCGGGAAAAAATACGTCAGAAGAAAAACTTTTAAAATACCTTTCAAGTTACAATTATAATTTGAAAATCTAAAATTTTCTAATCTTTAATCTAGCCTAAAAGTTCTAATAAATAATATGCAAAAACAAATCAATAGATTAAGTTTAAACTAAAATATAATATTATATTTGTATAACATAAGATAATGGTACATCGCTTGAGTAGAAGATAAAAAATAGTTCAATTTTTATAAACTTAGAAAAGTTTACTTACCCATATATATAATTACATTATTTACCAATTTATTTTTAACTAAACAAGTTAATAAGTCCTACTTTACCTGCAAAAAATAGAAAAATTGTATAATAATTCAGGTCAAATCAATAACTTATCCGAGTTTTCAAATAATTAAAACTGTAATGTTGAAATGTTGCTTTTCTCTTACCGATTAAAGAATACATTTAGGTTATAAGTGAATATTAAGTGTACAAATCTAGAAAAATTCAATTTAGAAACTTTTAATATAAAATTTGAATTATAAAATGTCATTAGTCACAAAATTTTGTATGATTAAGTTAAATTTTAATATGATAAAGTTAATATTTTAATAAACTTTTACAAAAAATTATAGGTGTCGTGTGTTATAAACGAAAACATAATTTTCTTAAGTATTAAAAACTGTTTAATTAAATCTGTCTAATTTGTTTTTCAAAATCGTATAAAACTCTACTAAAAAAAGATTTACAATAATAAAACATGAGACGTGAAGTTTACGTGGGTTCTGATCCATTAAAAATACTCCTTCGCCCACTTTTTCCGATAGTCTGGTGGGGACCCACTAGTGCGTCGCGAAGCCGCACAAAATTTCTTTTGTTTATTCGATAAGCGGTGTATTTTATAACACACCACATCAATTTTTCGTAAAATGTCTTACTACGTTTGTCGTCGGAATGTCATCTATTATGTTGCCTGCCTGCCGTTCGAGTGATGGGCGGCTATTGTTTACATTGTCGGCAGTCGCCATGTTTATATGTACGACCGCCCAGTCAGCAGGTCGTTTCGCCCCTCGTCCGAGAACGGAAAATGGATAACCGGTTTGTTCATTACGACGGTTACGCAAATAGTATTGACGGTATTTTTGTACACCAGGTTTTATGGTTGCCCTCTACCAGTAGGGCGCGGAGTCCTTTTTTAGCTCCTGATTTTTACCGGTTTGCGCGCGGATGATAAATAACTGTGGTGCAAGCTTCCACCCCTCATCTATATATCGCATTGGTCATTTCGTTAGAAACCAGATTCCGACCGTTATCGCAAAGCAATACGTGGGAGTATCCAAAACGTGAGAAAAATTCGCGTTGGATTGTTATTGTAGTCGTTGCAACTATCGGGTACGCTTCGGTCAAACGACTGAATCAGTCAGCCGCTACTAGCAGGTTCGTTTTACCCCTTGGTGTCCTAGGGTACTCACCCATTAGGTCAATACTGATGACCTCCCACGGATGTCTTGGTGTTCAAGATGCATTCGGCGAACCCCTGGACGAGCCTCCACGCCTCCCGGCTCCTCAACATCAGGTTCATAATGGACCAGACTCGGAGCGTGGACCCAAGTCGGAACTCCAAAGAGTGCCGCTTCTGGACTTGCGCCTCGCACTGATAGAGCTCTGTCTGCCTCTCCCGGGCCATCCGAACAGTGGTCGCACGTCGGCGCGGCTGATTTACGAATAAAGTGTAAGTACTCGTTAAAGCAGCCGTGGCCGGACATCACTTAGATGAGACGATAAATCATCTCACCGTGAAACCGGTCCATACGACATTACGTACTCGCGTACTATATTTTTCAGGCCCTTCCAATAGAAACGCTGTTTGATCGCTCGGTAGGTCTCTTCCATCATGGATGACACGCCAATGCCTCGTGGTGGTAACGCCAAATCACTAGCTGTGATTTGGCTGCAGGTATTACGGCCGGTGTGTCCATACGAATGCGTATAAGTCCGCCTAACGTGATATATTCCTTCTTGTTCTCGCTAGACTCCTTATCGTTTTTGCTGGCGGTATCCTTAACCAATTGTTTCATGATGGATGAAAGAAACGGGTCGTCGTTTTGCCACTCTAGTATCCCCCCCCCCCTACGTAAACGGACTGTTATCTGACGCGCCGTTTTTTCGGTTAAGGCAAAAACAATTGTCAAGAATGGCCCGCGTGTTATCCAGTGGTTTGGTCGTCGGCGCGCCCACTAAATTGTCGTCGAGTAACTCCTCATCAACAGGAGGCCCTTCAGTCGGATAACGTGACAACATATCCGGTCTTTCGTTGTACTTACATGTGTCGTATTGAAATTTAAATTACCTATATGTAGCGCCCTCCTAGTTAATTTCGAATCGTTGTCCTTTGTCCTGTGTATCGAAATTATCCGTAAATAATTCGAAAGGAGAATACTCTAAGTACAGGCGAAATTTATCAGTCGCCCGTATAATCGCTAAGCATTCTCGCTTTACGGCGGCGTAACGTTTCTGTGTTTCCGAGAGTTTCTTAGTGGCGCAGGATATGATTTTTCTCTCACCCGGTTCAGCCACGTGCTGAATAAGTATTGCCGCCACGCCCATTTCCTTTACAACGGTTTGAACACAGAAAGTTTTCGTGTAATAGGGGGGGCTCAGTCGTGGGGCATCATGTTTATTATTATGTTTATTCATAAAACCTTAATAATCTAATGCAGCTACGTTAATAGCGGAAATAAACAATATTTCCGTGTACGGTCAAATTTGCTTCAGTTATAGAAGACAAGTGTTATTATTAATGTTATTGTTGTTGTAGAAAAGTACCCGCCAACAATAATAATAACGATTACCTGATAATGGGCCGTTCTGACAAGGTCAGACAAAAATGTACTATTTTTATTTATTTATTATTAGTGGACTGTAATTATCTGCCGGAAATTCACTTTTGTCGATATCCATAAGGTCTTTATTAAAATACTGTAAAAAACACCATCCATCGACAATCTTTACAGCGGTTGTATTAAATTACGTATTCCAATTTGTTAACGTTTTATTAAATAAGTTCCTAACCACATATCAATCTAAACAATATGATTTTTTAAATCCTCATAAAATTTTCTATATGATTATATCAATTTCAATCATGCAAGTTAAGCTAAAATAGTTTTAAATTTCGACATTTTTTAATTATAAACTTTTGTAAAAATCTACTAAAAAAATGATTAAACATGACATTTAAAATTTGCATGGATTATTTCAAACATATAAAAATCAAATCAATATTAATTTGAAAACAAATTTTTTTTAGTTTTTAGTTAATTTTTTTAATATGTAAATACTTGTTTTTTTCTCATTAGTAAAAATCTCAAAAAAGATGTAATAGAAAATTGTAATGACAAATATGAAATCAGTGCGAAAATTTAGTTTAACAAAGAATATTTTAGTCTATGACGATTAAAAAATGATTAATTTTAGTGATATTATTTTTCTGCGTAATATAGTATAAAAACAAATTCTAAACTATTATTATTTGTGAAGATATTTAATTTTAAAAATACTTATTTAAATAAATTATTTTTAATTAAAAAAAATTATGAATTTGTTTACTATAATTACCAATTTCAAAAAAATATATAATAAAATAATTACCGGGACAATATTTTTAGCCTCGATGTGAAGTTGAGAATGCATTAATTTTACTATTTGTTTTTTTTTACTATCTTTTATTTTCTCTGCTCTAACTTAACCTACATTTTTCAACGATTCGTCAAATGATAACAATTAGTTGAAGATATTACCCTTAAAAATTGAAAAAAAATTCTAATTTATCAATTAAACAGTTACTTATCCCATTTATTCCATACAGACAATTAAAATCATTCATTTCTAATGTTTCAAAGTATTAATTGACGAATCAGGTTTGATATGATAATTTTAAATGATAGGTTTCAACTACAAAATTATATCATTTTACTTTGTAATTTAATAATTTTTTTACTGTATTTGTGTGTGCTACTACTAGACTATAATATTCCAAATTATTTTTGGTACCATATATAAATCATTTCTAAAAAAAATTTGTCAGTTTCTCCTGAATTAACAATGGATTTTTACAATTACAATTAAATTTTATAATACGCTCAATTGAGTAAATCTTTTTAACAACTTTGTTTTGATTGGTTCATTTAGTTAAAGCAAATCATTAAAATTAATTAAGTTCTGAATATTTCAATTGTAGAATCTTTTTAAACACCAAAAGTTACTAGGTAATGATTGATTACAATTATTTCTATTTCAGTTATCTATTACGATAAAAATGCAAAAAAATATTGAGCTACCCTGATTATATTGAGGTACTCTGATAAATTTACTATAAATAGTAATTATAAAACTTCCTAACTGCATATTAAACTTAACGGTACAATTATTTTTATTCTCATAAAATTTTCTATTTAATGATGTCAATTTCAAACTTGCCAATTGAGCTAAAAGTTATGGTAAAATAAATTGATTTTTTTTTATTATAAACATTCACAAAAATCAACTTTAAACGATTAAAAAAATAGGTTAAATATGTCATTTTCCTTATTTTAACATATTAATAATCAAAATCAGTATTAATTTAAAATAATTATTTTTTGTTCTTAATTATTTTTTTTTTATATGTAAATACTTATTTTTTAATAATAAGTCAACTTATTATTACTAATATATAGTTCTATATATAGTTATATAGATTTATATCTAAAATTTTCCCTCGTTCCCCGTAAATGAGGGAAACCTCCAAAAAAATTACAAATTTAAAAATAGCTAATTTTTTCAAATTTTTCAATTTTTTCCATTTTTTTTACTTAAAACTGCCATAACTTTTTGAAAAATGACCAAATCAATACAGTCTCTTTTTTATAGATGCACGATGTCTTTATC